GAATCTAAAGGTTCCACCACCTCAGAATAGTGCCATCAGCTGGGACCAAGCCTTCTTCACCTTCCTCACGTGAGGACATTACAGATCAAAATTATAACAGGCCCTGAGTGAAGGCACTGGCATGGAGGCTGGTGAGAAAGATGGAGATAGAGAAGCCCTCCAGGAAGATGTTCCACAATAGGGCTTGGAGGACAATTGGTAGAAGGAGCAAAGGAAAAGAAATGAAACATACTATGGGTACTTTATTCACAAACAGAAGCAGAGAAAGAGGGAGACCTTGGATCTGACATCAGAGATGTTAATAAGAATTTATGAGGTGGCCACGCATCCAGAAGGAGATACTCCCAGGATGGAGTCCTTGGCTAGAGATGTGAACTTGAGAAGCAACCTGAACTCGATGCCAAAGTGGGGCAGAGGAGAGCAATGGGGCAGTCAGAACAAGGGAGAGGATGGAGGAAAAGCCAGAGACAAAGAGAAGATGCAGATTTATTGTGCATTCATCCACTCCGGTATGAGGAGCATTAAAATTTGCCCCAACAACCCAACACCTCAGGTTCATGGTGGGAGGCTGTGAGGACCCCACCAGGGGTCTCTGGGACCTCACAGCTGGACATCCAGCCCCAGCGCTTCCAAGTTCCAGGCCAGGTGGGATGGATGGTGACTAGAGGTCAACAAAACTCAGCTGTGGGAGAGGTGATGGATTGAGTGGGTCCCCAGAGAAGGAGGAAGGGAAAAAGACATTGATGTTGGCAGGGAAGTGAGATCTTCCCTCAGAGACGAGGGCCAGGGCCCCGAGAGGAAGTCAGAAGGTGCTGAGGTCTTGTTGAATGAGGCAGACCTTCTCCACACAGTGGAGGCAGCCCAGGTCATTGACTGGGAAAAGCATCAGGAGGAAAGTTAGGGGTGGATGACAGGCTGCTGAGGAGCTCTCAGACAGCGATTCCTACAAAAGCCAGCAGACCCTGCTGGCGGAATTGATAACGTGAGTCTGTACCCTGAAGAGAGGTCACCCTTTAGGGAGTAGCTTTGGTCTTTGAATTTTATCCACTTAATGGCCATCCCAGGGCTCTCATTAATCAACATTTTAAGTTGGACAAAGAATCCTTGTAATTCCATCTAAACCACTTTGAGTGGATCTTTTTATTCATGAGGCATCATCTCTCCTTAAATTCTCCCTTCTCCCTGAGCTGGACCTCTTAGGGGTGGAACTCTGCGCTGTCCAGCTTGGCACAGAGATTGTGCCCACTTCCGGTGCCAGACATTCAGACTTGGAACTAACGTACAGCCGCAGCTCATAAATAGCACCAACCACCACTTTCCAGCACTGTCCTCTGTTGTCCTTCTCCTAGAGGAGCACATGTCCTAAAGAGACCTCAGGATGTCTTAGCAGCTACATGAGGAACCCTTCTCTGCCACTCGCTTCCTAAACATCACAGCTGGAATAAAAACTATGTAGTTCATACATAGTGGGGATATTCTGCTTAGTGGGGATATTCTTTTGGTTGTTCATTCACTCAACTATTATTATCATGTATTGGCTCCTTAGACATCCAGGAGCCAAAGGATGGGATGTCTCCGTACGTCACAAGGTGGTCTTCCTTGGTAGACAGGAGTTCCCTCTTCTGGCACTATCCCTTCTGCTTCTACCCACAACACATCCCACAGACACCTCTTCCAAGTGCAAACCAGCAAGCACTCTCTCCACCCGAGCACCGTCACTCAGAAAGCCAAGGCAGTGCTACTCGTGTGAAAATAGGTGGAGAGACATTGTAAGAGCTTTTTGAAGCAATTTTGGGCTAAGATCCTGTTACAGTTTGGATCTTGGGTGTCCTCCAAAAGGCTGTGTGTTAAAGACTCGGTTCCCGAGTTGGCACTGTTGAGGTCAGGTCCTTAAAGGGGCCTTAGAAAGCCAGCACCCCTCTTCCTCTCACTTGGCTTCCTAGATGTGCCGAGGTGAACAGGTATCCTCCACCACGTGCTCCTGCCATGCTGTGCCGCGCTGCCACAGGCCCAAAGCAACAGGGCCCAGTAGTCATGTATGGAAAGCTCTGAAATGGTGAGCCAAAAATAAACCTTAACGCTTCTACAATTGATTTACTGCAGATGTCTATCACAGCACAGGCAAGTGGGCTGACACTGAGCCCAGGGACCGACCACGACTCTGGTGTGTGGCACCTCCCATCCCCACTGCCTACAAGGTGGGACTGTGTAACCCCCACACTAGGTGGGATATTTCAGTGCATGTTAGGACGAATTAATGGTTCAATAAGCATGTGCCAAGTGGGCTTGGCACGCACTCCCTTGCACTGTCATTTGTGCGTCTATATGTCAGCTACCTTGAGGCTTTCTGGAGGGCTGAGAACTTGGCTGTTTTGCTTTTGTACCCAGGTTTCTGCTTTCACAGTGGGTGTTTATTAATAATCATGAGATCCCTCTGGGGAATGAGGGACTCAGAGAGAGAGAGAGAGAGAGAGAGAGAGAGAGAGAGAGAGAGAGAGAGAGAGAGAGAGAGAGAGGGCTCCAGCTCCATTTCCCAAGGCAGTACCTTTTCTCTTTCTTTTGTCCCTCACATCTCTACAGGTAATCTCAGATGTCACCCCTACAACCTGCGGTCCCCCAGCCCAGGGCTGTCTATGGGACGCATGCAATGAGCCATCCTCACCGCTAGAGGGCGGGCAGTGACTGAAAGGTCAGAGGACCTGTAATTTCTCATACAAAGAGGACGCTATTAGAATCACACCCCGACAGTAGGTGTCGACAGGGGCAGCCCAAGCAAACTGGGATGTATGACCATTCTACCAAAGGAGCCAAGGTCTGGAAGAAAGAAACTGATGTTCGAGGGAGGCGGAAACCTTTCTGACTCTGGTCGTTGTTTTGGCAGGGAGTGAGCCCTGGGGACCTTCCAGGGTTGCCTGGGGACCGGAAATAAGAGGAAGGATGGTGTTTGCAAACACTGAGCAGGTGGCACAGGTTTTCTCGGAGGACTTGCCAGCTGTTTTGTTTACAATCTCAGCTCTCAGTGTGTCTTCACTGGCAACTACAGGGTTTGAAAGGTTTCACGTTGGGCAGGCAAAAACTTCTGGATTTGTTAAGGCAACTGCACCATCCAGCAAGAGGGACCCCGGCTTCCACTGGACAGGAGAAATCTGTGGGCTGTGCTTTTGCCCTCCATGTGCTAGTTGTGCCGCTGGGGGGGTGGGGCGTTATGAGGGGTAGGGTGGGGTCTCTGATTGCTGCGTCAGCTCAGCTGGGAGCCCCAAGTCCCACACTGGCGAATCCCAGATTTCACACTAGGGCGCCTGATGGACAGGCGGGAGCAACCAGCATGCTTCTGGCTGCAAGGTCCTCATCGATGATGGGGCTGGTTAAATGGGTTGAATCTTGTCAATTTGGGCTTCAAATGACCTGGAGCCAGAGGATTATTATCTCACTTTAGGAGAAGTAGAATAAGTGGCTAATCTTGGATGACCTTTTCCATTTTCCTCCCTGGCATTCTCTCCTGCACAAACCCACAGCGGGGATGGGGTTAAAGGGGGTCATCCTGTGTCACTGCTGTGATTTGCATAAGAAACAGGGCCATGGTGATTCTTCATCACCTGAGGAGCCTGCCAAGCGTTCAAAATTGGGCTAGGATTCCTTCTCTTAAGGTTTAGGTATCATGACGGTGATTTAAACAATCAAGTGCACTAAAACATGGTGTGTATTAGAAAATTGAGGATGGTGATCCCTGTGGGCAGGTGAGAGGGTTTTCCAGTGTGACACTGGCCACATGTCCCAGGCAGGGGGAGCTCAGAAAGCAGGACAGGCAGCCAGGGAAAAGCTGGGTCCAGAGGGAGTCAGGATGACCCAGTGAAGGACAAGATAAGATGACGCCTGGGACTGAGAGCTACCCAAAAACCAGGCCGCAGGGTGGGGACGCGATGGCCAAGGCCAGGGCTTGGGTGGCGTGGTGAACAAGGGATCTGTGTTAAACTTGTGGGATCCTCCTGTCCAGGAATGTGCCAAAAACAAGGTGAGAGACAGCCTGACCCGTCAAGCCACAATTCACAGCCCTCTGAACAGTGCCTTTGTGCTGCTTGGGCTGATAATTTTACAAAAGTTACCATTATTGGTGCTTATCAAAGTATGCTTGCTGTCCGCACCAAGTTCCTCTAGGCCCACTTCTGGTCAAACTTTCCTGCTTGTCGCCCCATAGGGTGACTTCAACTTGGCCCACAGTGACCTGAGAGCAGTCATTTTTGTGTCTAAAAACCCCTAGACTTTGTCCCCACGGCAACTCACACGGGTCCACTCCTGGGGTCGGGAGCTTCTTGCTTGCTTCCCAAGGCCGGAAATGCTTTTGCTCTCCTCTCTCTTGAAATTCTTTTTGGGTTGAGAGAAGAGCCCACCAGCTGGACATAAACTAACAAACTAAGGAGCATCTCTCCCTTTCCTTTTTTACTTGTTTTATCTAATCTGGCTAAAAAGAAACAATGTAACACATTAAGAATGTGGCCAGAACCAGTTCTTAAAGCATTTTGTGTAATGAGAAAAGAGAAACAGAAACAGTTTCAAGGCAGGCAAAAGCTTGAGGAAGAACTTTGTTTTGTCATTATTGTTTTGTTTGTTCATTTTTTGACAGGGTTTTTCTATGTAGTTCAGTCTTGAAGTCGCCATAGAGCTGAGGCTGGTTTTGAATGGACAGTGGTCCTCCTGCCTCTGGCATCCAAGTGCACCACCACACCTGGCCTTCAGGAAGAACTCTGAAGCCCCTTTATCTAGGCTAAAGACAGTTTCTATTATTACAAAGCTCAGATCAGAATGACTTCAGATCCTCCTCTGATGCACAAGCTAAGAGCTGAGAGTTGACAGCTCTCCTGGTTTCCATGACTACCATCAGCAGCTATGATGATGCCAAAACAAAAACCAGAGGACTCAGAAATTTTTTTATGTGACCAGATTATAGGCAATTTGAAAAGAAGATGCATAGTCCACTTAACCTATCTCTCTTGTGTTTTCAGTTTTTCTTGGCCATGTGGGTGGATCAGCAGGAGGCCAAGTGAGGACTCGCCTTCCCTTTTCCTGGGTTGGTGATCTTCCCAGCTGCATTCCTGTGACTCCGGTGAGATTACTTGGTGACCTAATTCAAGTTATATGAGTTGAGCTATCACCATTCTTGGGGATGGTGTATCAAGAGAGCCCTGTGCCTGTTTCATAAGTAGGCACATGCTGTGTTTTTCCCAAAGAAATTCCAGAGCCCAGGCTTTGCTTGAGAGCTTGCTTCTGCACGTAGGTCCCTGGTTGTGAGTGTCAGGGTCGGCACAGGGACACAGAGGTGGGAATGCTAACTTAGCTCCCACATCCATTCTCCTTGCCTCCCCACCCAGTGATCTGGGAACATTGAACCTCTAGGTGATATCGTTGCATGCTTGTGTAACACCTTTCTCATGCCTTGTCAGATAAAGCCTTCTGAAAATTTCCAGGTGTCTGAGGCATTTCTAGAGCAGATGAGAACCATGCATCCTGGATAGTGTAACCCCTAAGGGGAGGGTGAGGGACTTATACCCACCTGATTCTCTTGGGGAGACACCTGTTTCAGCCTACACTTGCTTCATGACTGAAGGAAGACAGCTGTGTTTTATGGAGTACTTATTATGTGCCCACACTCTGGGTTGCATGTATGGCATTTCTTGGAAGCTGGGCAAGAGTCCCAGTATCAGAAAGACCTGGATTTAAATTCTAGTTCTCCTCCTCTTAGTTGTGTGAACTTCTGCTTATTGTTTAATCTCCCTGAGCCTCGGTTTTATCTGTAAAGCGAGACTAAGGATATATCACCTCATGAATTTGTTATGATAAATAAGGTAAAGCATAATGAAATGCAGTAAACGTCCAGTGAAGCTTAGCTCTTATTATTACAAGTCATAGGATTGCTCTAATCCTAGGAGCATCTCGTACATACAATACACAGAACGTTTAAATCCTGAAAAGTTCCAGAGATTTTATGCCTCCTCACAGTGGCTCCTCAAGTACTGACTGATAATGAAGGTGCCAGGGGCTGTGTATTTCATTCTTTTGCACTTGGCATAGAGATTTGTTTATTCTGTGCTCAATTTGTGCTGGGCATAGTACTAGGCAACATGATCCATGACCTCACAAAGTTCAAAGCCTTGTTTTGGAAATAGGGCCAATAAATATAACATGCCTAAGCAATACAAGACAGGCTATACTGCTAAATGGTACTTCTAGTAGCAAGTGTGAGAATTAGAGAAAATGATCCCTATTATATTTTAGGGCTGGGTTAAAAACATCACCTTACTTAAGTTTTCATTAATTCTATGATGTCATATATCCCATTAGGGCAGAAACTTGGACTTGGTGAAAATCAGTGGCTTCCTGTTGTAGTCAGAGTTTATAAAGGGAAAAGATTTGGTATAGGACACTCAATTGATAGGATTATTTTATAAAATTCACTCAAAGAACCAAATGCAAAAGAGTGCAGGAGATCTGTCCACACATTAGAGACTCAAAGAATTTGCTTGAGGGCCTGGATCCCACGGCAGTGTCCTGTATGAGCCCAGCTGAAGACCTAGAGCCCATGACAATGTCTTACGTAAGTCTGCATCAGGGATCTGCATTAGGAAGGCCCAAAGGTCAGTAGTAGAAGCTAGAAAGTCTGCACCAGCAGGGTGAAGGATCTGTGCTAGCAGGCTGAAGGTTCTGCACTGGAGCCGGGAAGTGATGCTCAGAGTAAGGACCAGGCTCCCCCAACGAGAACCACAGCCATCCTCAGTGCATCGAGGACCCAGGCTCCAACAGTGATGACAACCAAGTTCACACCAGGAACACCATGGCCACAAGCTTCCCCAGGAGAATCAACAGTGCCCCGTCTTCCCCTCCAGTTCTCCTTTTTGGTTGATGACAACAGTCCTCAGGTGGGCCTTCCACACCCAGCACCACGCTGATTCATTTCAGCTGGGTGTTCCAAGTTGACCATTAGTTAACTCACCACACTGCCCAAGGCCACACAGCAGCTGAGCTGGAACTTGATTCCAGTCTTTGTGGCCCTTGATCCTCCCAGACAGAAGCAGGTAGTAGCAACCCAGTTCTGCAGTGGGGAAACAGGAAGCCAGAGGGCTAAGTGCTTGTCCAAGGCCACTGAAATAGCTGCAGCCAAGCTGGGATTTGAACACAGGTGTGTCCATCTCAAGGTCTCTACCCTCCTTGCTCCATGGAGCCTCTGTGCTCCATGTCCCAGATGCCTACCTTATGCCAGAGGAGGGCAAAAGCTGCTGGTTACCATGAGAAGTGGGCACCTGGGGTGTTGCTCTAGGATGACTGCAGAAGGTGGACAGGCTGTTCCTGAGGCACTGTGGCCCTTACAGCTGCTTCCCTGCCAAAGACAGCCAGCCCATTTTACAGATGCGGATGCTGAGGCCCGGAGCAACTCACTCCGGGCTCCCCAGCATCCTTTTGCCTTGACTCGGCTCCCCTCATCTGCAAGCCTCTCCTTCCCATTCCTTCGGACCTTATCTTTTCCATCTCTCTAGCACCACCCTAGGGACCTGACAGCTAGGACAAAGGCTTGGCCAGCAGTCACATAGGTCCCATACCAATGTCGATTGTGATCATTTCCATGGCTCCTAGTAGCATTCAGTAAACGTTGGACAGTAACGTAAAGAAGTGCTCACTGCCTTCTAGTCCTCAACCTGCAGGACTAGAGACCTGCAGGTTGACCATTTGCTCTGGCTTTGTGTCTAGAGCGCCATCTTGTGGTCCATAGTAGGAAATGCACCACGTCGTGCTCAGGAACACCCACCACAGACCAAAAGGACTAATGGGATTGGGGTGTGAACAAAGCCCTGTGGGGTGCAGTTTAACTTCATGTAGGAAAATAAGGCTGACAAGCGACTCAAAAGGATTTTCCCACTTCCATGGTGAATGTGGAGAATCCTGTCAAAAATCTGAATGGAAATTAAACAACCAGGAAGTCTCATTGTCGCTGGAGAAACAGGTCCTCTGGGCGTTTCACAGGGCGACTGGCTAAGAACAGAGGACACTGCCACACTTGCCATCTGGGATGAGTGAGCACATTCACAAGGATGGTCACAATTCCAGGACCCTTGCTTGGCCTCACCTGCACTCCATCCCTCAGATAGGAGGTGCAGGCAGGGATGGGGAGGGAGGGCCCCAAGGCAGGTGGGACACTGCCCAGCGGGACAGAGTGAGGACCCTGCCCAGCAGCGATAAGCTGCCGCCTCTTAGAGAGCACAGGAAGCTACAAGGAACACCCAGGCCCTTTATTTCTCCGCTGGGTCAGGGGCTCCTCAGCTCCTATCCTAATCAAATTGTCAGTCACCATCCAAGAATCAAATCACATGTTTACTCCTGTCTTTGTCTCATTTTCCTATGCAAATAGATAAGCAGTCTACTTTGAGTAATGCAGGGTTCTGGCTGATTGGGGAATGTGATGGTGGCTCATGCTTGACTCTGATGGATGTGTGTGGCTGGGGGAAGAAACTGGTCAGGTAGAGCTGTGTCATGCCCAGACGTCCTGCAGGGGACCCAGGATTTGCTCTTACCTGTTGCCCTGGTTTAGATCTGGACTGCGTCTCCAAAGCACATGCATCTAAGTCTTGTCCACAGCTTGGAGTCACTGGAAAGTCATGAATCTGTAAGAGCGGGAGCCCGGCAAGAGGAACTTTGATCACTGTGCTCGGGATTGAGGGGGATGGCAGGACACCTTTCCTTTCTTTCTTTTTTTTAATTTTTATTTATTTTATTTTTTGTCTTTTTCCTTTTTATCGGTACCAGGGATCGAACTCACGACTGCCTGCTTGCAAGGCAGGCGCTTATGCCGCTGAGCTAAATCCCCAGCCCCTGTTCCTTTCTTTCTTGATAAATTTATTTCTCAGGCATTTTGTCACAGTGATGGAGAGCTGACTAGCACACCCATTAATGACCAAGGATACACTGGGGCTAGATGATGGTACAAATATTTCTTTCTTGTTCCCTTACTGTAATTTTTACTCCTTGCAGAGACCACCATGGCTGGGCACCTTGAAGACCCCTCTTCCTTTCCTACCCAACTGCTATCCCTCCAGCTGCATAGGCCCTTGCTGCCTGCATTGTAATTACTTTCCACTGACACTTACGCTTGCCTTGGATATTCCAGTATTTTGGAGCAGAGCAGGAGGAAAGTAAACTCTTCATGTTACCATTCATTGCTAGAATTGAAGAAGGGCTTTACAATGCTGGAAGACAGTATCTATGTCCTCCTGCAACATACAAGAAAAATCCCACATGGACATGCAGGGAAGAGGAAAAGAGGCAGCTGTGGCTCTTGATGCTTACTTTGTATTTCCTGTATCTCATCAACGTCCCTTACGAGGTGGAACACTTACAAGCAAGGTAAAGGCTAGCAGGACTCTAGTCTTCATGAATGTATCTGCTGTCTAAAAATTACTTCCTGGTAGTTTATGAGGATGATCTTAGCTTGTCTCCTGAGTGAGACCAACAGAGCTGTGACCAGGGCTTCGGCTAAAGACACTGTGGGGTGCAGTCACTGTTTACAGCCAACACTTTGGAAAGAGCTATTAGGAGAGTACACAGGGTTGCTTTTATCTGGAGGGGACCCAAGCCAATCAAAATAGCCTTTGAGCAGGAGGAACCAAAGAGCTCCACCTAGTGATCCCCACCCGTACTGCAGGAGAAGGAGAAAAGATTGTTGGAAATAAAGCTAAAAGTGTAGGGGGTGTCAGACATGTGCCAAACACGATCAGAGTTGTCTGATAAGTAAATGTCTCCTTTTGAAATCTCTTATATTCATAAAACAGAAATAGCACCTAAGCAATCCTTTATTAGGAGTCTCAGCCCTTATTTCATGACACATTGTATATTGCTTACTGTGTTTTATAGGTTGTGTTGTCTTTGTGGTCATAGACTGTATTATTTGAAATGCTCCAGTTTGTAATACTTTATAGTTTTTTAATTTAAAGCAAAAAAAAAATAAAAATGATGATACAGAATTTCAAAACCAAATAATAGGAGATTAAATTGTTAATCTCCTATATATTAATATATTGCGTTATCTTCAAAGTAGTTGCTCAGATTACAAGATACTATAGGTGTGAAAAAATTATGACAGTGAAAACACAAACCATTCTCTCTGATGAACTAATAGAGATTAGTATAGTATACTGGTAGTATAATTATTTAATATATATGTGTGTATATTATGATCTTTTCCATTCTTTCTTTTCTCCTTTCCCCTGTCCCAATTGTTCTTTCCTATAGTTTTTTTTTCTTACTAGAATTTAGGGAAGAATTTGTATGCAGCAATGCTGTTGGGTTCAGAGTAAATACAAGAAAAAATTAATAAAAACTGTTTTGGAGATGAAGTATACATTTGTGTATGTGCCAGAAAGAAAGAGACAGAAGGTAAAGAAATGAGACAAAGTGTGTGTGTTTGGGAGGTCTGAGAATACGGCTCAGTGACGGAGCGTGTGTTTAGCATGTGCAAGGACCTGGGTCTGAGCCCTGGCACAAGAGAAAAGGAAGGAAGGAAGGAAGGAAGGACAGAAGGAAGGAAGGAAGGAAGGAAGGAAGGAAGGAAGGAAGGAAGGAAAGAATTTTAAAAATTTAACCAAAGTGCCTAAAAAAAAGCATCATTAATACTTCAGTGGAAGAAGCTGGGCGTGGTGGCTCATGCCTGTAATCCCAGCACTCAGGAGGCTGAGGCAGGAAGATTGTTGCAAGACCGGCCTGGGCTACAAAGTGAGTTCAAGGCCAGCCTGAACTGCATAGTGAGACACTGTCTCAAAAAGACAAAAAAAAAAAAAAAAAAAAAAACAAACTTCACTGGAAGAAAGGAATGAAAAGACAAATGAAAGTAAAAAGGAAGGGAAAGAAACAGGAAGACCTAAACCCAGTGAAGTTTAGCACTTACTCAAGAAGGCCAGACCCAAAAGACTTGTCCTGTCCTGAGTCTGGGAGAGAACAAAGCTGGATCCCTGGGTTCCTTGCTTGTCTCTGTATATTCTTAGAAGGCAGGGATGGTTGTCATTTCCAGACAAGCCAAACACCATCTTCCCTGATGACTCTGAGTCACGTCACGTTTGAAAGTGGGCAACTTGTGTAGGCAACAGATGGCAACCTCAGAAATAGTGTGTCTGACACTAGATGTGGGTGTAATTAGCTGGAATCGTGCATGACTTAAGAAAGTATGTGTTATTAGATTAACATATTTATCCTCTTTACTCAGGAATATTCTAATTTTCATTTAAAAAATTTCCAAATTATAAAAAACTATTTTTAATCAAATTGTATTGACATATATAATGATCACATTCATCAAAGAGAATTGGTACCTGTAAAAAAAAAATCTGTTAATTTAGGGCACAAAGATGTTCCAGGTTTTGATGCTGATGTGTGTCCTGGAGTGTTTGAAGCAACCTCAGACATCACATCACTCTCTGAACCATGGTTTGGATATGTTGGAGCGCTTCCCAAGGACTCCTGTGCTGGGAACGCAGTCCTCAGTGTGGCCTGAGAGTTGACACAGCATTAAGAAATGGAACATGGTGGGAGGTAGTTAGGTTCCCGGCGCATTCTGTGGTAAGAGATAAATGCAGTTCATGAAGGACCCTGTGAGTTCTCACAAGAGTGTGTTGTAATGAAGCAAAACCACCCCTGGGCTTTTTCTGCATGGGGCTATTTTTCTTTCTGTTTCTCTGCTGTGTTGTGACATGGTTACATTGTGTGCCAGCCCACACCAAAGGCTGAACAGATGGAGCTGCATGATTTGAACTTTCATCCCCCAAAGTTGTGAGCTAAATAACACTTTCCTTATAAAGTACCCAGCACAGATACTGTGTTTTTGTTATAGCCACAGAAAATACTCTGTTTATAAAGCAATTGCTACTTTTTATTTTATTTTATTTTTTTGGTACAGGGGATTGAACTCACAACCTCATGCTTGCAAGGCAGGTACATACGCTGCTGAGCTAAACCCCTGTCAATCACTACCTTAAAAGCTAAGAATTTTAAAAAATTAGCCATAGTACCATTATCACACCAAAAAAGCGTAATTAATATTGAATACCGTTAAATAGTGAGTGTTAAAATTTGTCTAATTCGCTGATCGATTTTTTCACATGGCACATTTTTATGCATTAAAAATATATTTAGCCAGGCGTGGTGATGCATGCCTGTAATCCCAGTGCTCTGGGAGGCTGAGACAAGAGAATGGAAGTTCAAGCTCAGCCTGGTCCACTTAGTGACTTAGCAAGACTTTGTCTCAAAATAAAAAATTGAAAAAGAGAGCTGGGGATGTAGCTCTGTGTCTTCACATAGAGCTGGGTTCAATCCCCAATAATGAAAAAAACCCCATAAATATATGTTTATTGGAATAATGACATTTGTAGGAGAAAATAAATCTTGATACCCAACCTCATTCAATAAAAAATTCCAGATGAATGCTAGACCTAAATGTGGAAGAAAAAACAATAACGTTTTAGAAGACCATAGAGTCAAGCAGGTAAAGATTTCTTAAACTGAAGACAAAAAGATCAAATTAAAGAAAATTGGTTCCATAAAAGATGCCATCAAGACCAGGATTTAAAATGACAAGAGTAAAGATAGGCAACAAAATACAGCCTCCCTGGGACCTGGAATCATGACACCTGGAAAACAATAACCTAGTAAGGAAAAACAGTGGGGCTCTGGGAATCAAGAAAGAGCCAGGAGGGAAACCAGAGACTACAGAGAAACTGTAGAAACGGAAGACAGTGCTGAGAAAGGAGGAGAACAGGCTGGAACGCTAACCCAGCTCCCAGGGGAGGGATCTGTCTCCACAAGCATAAGGCGAGGCTGCACAGGACGGAGGAAAATCCCACAGTTATCATCAACTGCAAAAGCAGCTGGGATTTTACTCTGGAAAAAACTCCACATGGCAGGCTAGAGAAGAAATCTGGGGCAGCACCCACTGTATTTGAGAGGGCTTAATCAGGGTCCAGGAAGTATAAAGCAGTACAACCACTATAAAAAACAGTACAGAAATTCCTCCAAACACTACAGCTAGAAATTCCATTCAACCCAGCTATTCCTCTTCTAGGTGTCTTCCCCGAAGAGGTAAGACATCTTGGTACAGTGACGTATGCATGCTCATGTTTACAGCAGCATAATCATAATAGCTAAATCCTGTCAGTAGCCTTTATGTCATCAACGAATGAGTGCATACAAAAAGTTTTATTTGTACCCAATGGTACCCTGCTGTAAAGAAGGATACCTCTGAGTTGTTAAGTGAAATCAGACACAAGCTTAGGTATCACATGATTTCTCTTACATGAGAAACTCAAAATATAAATAAAGAACAAAATAAAAGGCAGATAATAGGAAATGGGGAGATGAGTCTTGCAAATGGGAAAGGGTTCCAGAGATGGAGGTGCCAGGCATGGTGGCATGTGGCTGTAATCCCAGCACTGCTGAGGTTGGGGCAGGGGATCCTGCAAATTTGAGAGCAGCCTGGGGTACAAAGTGAGTTCGAGGCCAGCCTGAACTGTAGTGAAATCTGTCTCAAAAAGACTCACACACACGATGGAGAGAAGATGGTAAAAAGAGTTCAATGTGTTATGTATGTACACCAACTCCCTATCAGGAATGTAATCATTATATTCTACAAACATGTATTAATAAACATTTTTAATTAAAAAATGAAGATTCCAGGTTTCTGGGAAGATGGTGGAACGGTAAGCAGCAGAGTAAACAGCCTCTCTGAGAGACACAGTCCAGACCCTGGAATACAGCATTGTGGGGAAGCCAAGAAGGCAGAGAGTGATCTAAAGTGAGAATTGAAGCCCAAAGAAAAAGTAAACAGAAAACTTAAGTGAAGAAGAAGGTGGTAGCTCATGGCGTCCATACCCAGAGCTGGACCCACTGTACGAGAGGACCTATTGGAACCTGGGGATGCACGGTCATGGTGATGGTGGCGGCTGGTGACCCTGGAGGCTCTGCAGAGAGACACGGCAGTGGAAGGGAGCGCTGGATGTGGAGGACTGCACTAGCTGGCAGTGAGTGCAGAGGACTTAGTCCTCCCACGGGAGAGAGTGATTGGCCAGGAGCCATTTGGGAGTCAGGCTGGGTAAGCCCGGAAACCAGAACTGTAGTCGGCTTCCTCCAGCAGCTGGGTGCAGACCTGTGGAAATTGTTTGGACTGAGCTCTGCCCCTACATGCATTCTAGAAGCCATCATGGAGGTCCTCCATTGGTAACAGCTCTGCTTGCAGGCAGTGGCCTGCCCCTCCCCAGTACGCACTCCAGTGGCCATTGGGGAGCCAGCACAGGCTGGGAAAGCAGTGGACAGCCCTGCACCAGCACACCTAATGGCTGCCATCAGATACCCATATCCAGCACTGGCCAGGAGAACCAAACAGTCTCACTTCAGAGAAATTGTATCCAATGCAGGTATTGGATACAATACCCACTTGTCCAGAAGAACCCAGGAATACTCAAGACAAAGAAACAAAATGCAGTCTCTGGCCTCCAACCCAAGCAGAGCAAATCAGGAGGTGTAAACACAGAAGAGATCAGGAATTACACACCTGAAATTTCTGAAGTGATGGCAGCTGAAGTAAAGAAACAAATTCATGAGGCTATAAAAGAAAGTAGAACAGAAATACTGTCTCAGGTAAAAGAAGAAATGAAAAATATAATAAAAGATTTGTTAAGCACCTCTAAAGAAGTCACAGATTAAAAAAGATAGAGGAGCATAGGGAAATAAGGGAAACCTCAACTGAACAATATAAAAAAGATTTAGAATGCATGAAACATTCAAAGAGATATTTAGGAAATTAAAATCTCCACTGAAAGTTGGCAAAACCATTTGAAAGCAACTGAAGATAGACTATCAAACCTTGAAGACAGAGTTGTAGCTTACAGTTGCAAAAGATATCTTAAAAATAACAAGGAACCAGGAAGTAAAAATTCAATGACTGCAAGACACAGCAAAGAAACATTAGAGTAATGGGTGTAAGTAAAAAGCAAGGGTCAACACGATGGTATTAAAAGTCTACTTACAGAAATAATATCAGAAAACTTCCCAAGCAAGGGAAATGGAAGTAATACTCAGATAAATGAGCCATATAGAACTCCAACTAGCCATAACCAAAATAAATCTTCACCAAGACATATAGTAAAGGTCCCAGAAATTCAACACAAGAAAAGAATATTTAAAATTGTTAGAGATAAGAAACAGATCACCTATAAGGGAAAACCCATCAGAATCACAACAGACTTCTCAACAAAAACCATCAAGTCAAGAAGAGCTTGAAGTATTTCAAGTCCTGAAAGAAAATAACTTTCAACCCAGATGATATACTCTGCACAACTATCTTTCA